TGTCGTTTAGTGTTAGGCTCACTCTAACTCCTCATACTGTATTTAATCATAAAAGATGTGATGGTTTAATTATGGCAAAAGATCTGAAAACCAAACAGGGGTTTGGTTTCCAGTCAGCAGAATAGCTTGTCAGTTGTCAGCGGAAATGCAACACAGTGTGGTACCAGTGGCGTGGTTTTTTGTGCGTGTGTATTCATTTACGCTGGAGTCCTTTTGTACAGAATATATCTTACACAGTAGGCTTCAATGATTTTCTGTTTTTGAAAGTACTTGGTCTTCAGTGATAGCTTAGTGGCAGACAGCACTGGTTACACCTGAAGTCTGTTTACTTTCAAAATTAAGCCCTTTTTACTGTATCATTGTGTGTCTGTATATATGACATTTAATTCAGTGCGCAAACATGTCAAATAAATCTTTCCTTTTTTTTTTTTTTTGAACTATGTAAAAAGAAATGTTCTGAACAAATATTCAGCAAAGACTGATCATTCTCAATAAAAACTCATTTTTGGGAGGTAAGATTGTGTTTTATTTGTGAACATGGCTTACTGGGCTTTTAATAATACAGACCATAAAACAAAATATTTTTATGTGAACGTAAACATGGCTCAGTTTCTTTCCTTTCACATTTGATTTTTTATGCAGGTTGCTCTAAACATCCGCAGTACTTCACAAGTCCTCTGAATTGTGTTGGCTATGTTTAACTAGAAAGGAAATACCATATTTCAGAAAACTGATGTATAATATTGTCTATGGCTTTTCCCTATTCTGAAATTAGTTCAAGGATGTTCGTAACTTGAGTGTTCATGACTTAAGTCGCTAATTTTAAACAGTACTGTTCTATTCAATTCCTGAGTTCTATAAGCGTCACAAGAATTATACTAAAATGCTTTTCAAAAGCGTACACTTTAAAGAATGGTGGGTTTATTGTCTTACAGGCGATCTGAGGCAAAAAATAGAGTGGGGGAACTATGACGTCAGAATCCGGAAGAGTAATTCGCCGCGGGTTCCTTCGAGATTTTCCTATGGGGTTTTTCCAATTTATGAGTAAAATAAACCCTGTGGTAAACCTAACTTGACGATGCTTTGGCGTTTTGTTCTACAACGTAAATTACACACATCCATACCCAAAACAAAATTTGAAGCAGTTATGTTCATTTTTGAAAATGTTAATAAGTAACTAGATAAGAACGTTTGGGCTGTGAGTGTGTGCAGTTGTAGAACAAAACGTAAAAGTATCGTCAACTATATTGTATTGTATTTGATATTTGATTTGAAAACGTGGGTTGAAAGCGGCATGACCAAATGAATGACAGTAGGACGGATAGATAGCGGTTGATCATTGCTGGTGAACCGGCACTTTTCGTGTTGATACCGCAAGATACTAGGCTATCTGCGCAGAACTTATGGCAAGCCGTTTTATTAAATACTCCTTGCTGTACTAGTCATAATTTAGTTTTGACTAGTCAAAATTCCAATTCCAGATATCTATTCTGCAATTTTGACTCGTCGTAATATGGCAAGCCGTTTTAACATTTAATCTATAAGCCGTACTAGTATCTATTTTCATGGTACTAGTATCTATTTTTTAGATACTAGTATCTTTTCCATTAAGTACTAGTACTTATTCATTAGGTACTAGTGCTTATTCTTTAGCTACTAGTGCTTATTCTTTAGGTACTAGTGTTTATTCTTTAGGTACTAGTGTCTTTTGTAAAGTTACTAGTACTTATTCATTAGATACTAGTACTTATTCATTAGATACTAGTACTTATTCATTAGATACTAGTACTTAATGCTTTTCAAAAGCGTACACTTTAAAGAATGGTGAGTTTATTGTCTTACAGGCGATCTGAGGCAAAAAATAGAGTGGGGGAACTATGACGTAAGAATCCGGAAGAGTAATTCGCCGCGGGTTCCTTCGAGATTTTCCTATGGGGTTTTTCCAATTTATGAGTAAAATAAACCCTGTGGTAAACCTAACTTGACGATGCTTTGGCGTTTTGTTCTACAACGTAAATTACACACATCCATACCCAAAACAAAATTTGAAGCAGTTATGTTCATTTTTGAAAATGTTAATAAGTAACTAGATAAGAACGTTTGGGCTGTGAGTGTGTGCAGTTGTAGAACAAAACGTAAAAGTATCGTCAACTATATTGTATTGTATTTGATATTTGATTTGAAAACGTGGGTTGAAAGCGGCATGACCAAATGAATGACAGTAGGACGGATAGATAGCGGTTGATCATTGCTGGTGAACCGGCACTTTTCGTGTTGATACCGCAAGATACTAGGCTATCTGCGCAGAACTTATGGCAAGCCGTTTTATTAAATACTCCTTGCTGTACTAGTCATAATTTAGTTTTGACTAGTCAAAATTCCAATTCCAGATATCTATTCTGCAATTTTGACTCGTCGTAATATGGCAAGCCGTTTTAACATTTAATCTATAAGCCGTACTAGTATCTATTTTCATGGTACTAGTATCTATTTTTTAGATACTAGTATCTTTTCCATTAAGTACTAGTACTTATTCATTAGGTACTAGTGCTTATTCTTTAGCTACTAGTGCTTATTCTTTAGGTACTAGTGTTTATTCTTTAGGTACTAGTGTCTTTTGTAAAGTTACTAGTACTTATTCATTAGATACTAGTACTTATTCATTAGATACTAGTACTTATTCATTAGATACTAGTACTTATTCATTAGATACTAGTACTTATTGATTACATACTAGTACTTATTTATTAGATACTAGTACTTATTCATTAGATACTAGTACTTATTCAATAGATACTAGTACTTATTTCAATAGTGACTAGTAACTATTATATTGTTACTAGTAAAAAAAAAAAAA